GCTGTCACTCTGTGTGGGTGCTGTCACTGTGTGGGTGCTGTCACTCACTGTGTGGGTGCTGTCACTACTGTGTGGGTGCTGTCACTACTGTGTGGGTGCTGTCGTGTGGGTGCGTCACTCACTGTGTGGGTGCTGTCACTCACTGTGTGGGTGCTGTCACTCACTGTGTGGGTGCTGTCACTCACTGTGTGGGTGCTGTCACTCACTGTGTGGGTGCTGTCACTCACTGTGTGGGTGCTGTCACTCACTGTGTGGGTGCTGTCACTGTGTGGGAGCTGTCACTGTGTGGGGTGCTGTCACTCACTGGGGTGTGGGGTGCTGTCACTCACTGTGTAGGGTGTTGTCACTCTGTGTGGGTGCTGTCACTGTGTGGGTGCTGTCACTCACTGTGTGGGTGCTGTCACTCACTGTGTAGGGTGTTGTCACTCTGTGTGGGTGCTGTCACTCACTGTGTGGGTGCTGTCACTCACTGTGTGGGTGCTGTCACTCACTGTGTGGGTGCTGTCACTGTGTGGGGTGCTGTCACTCACTGTGTGGGTGCTGTCACTGTGTGGGTGCTGTCACTCACTGTGTGGGTGCTGTCACTCACTGTGTGGGGTGCTGTCACTCACTGTGTGGGTGCTGTCACTCACTGTGTGGGTGCTGTCACTCACTGTGTGGGTGCTGTCACTGTGTGGGTGCTGTCACTGTGTGGGTGCTGTCACTCACTGTGTGGGTGCTGTCACTCACTGTGTGGGTGCTGTCACTCACTGTGTGGGTGCTGTCACTCACTGTGTGGGTGCTGTCACTCACTGGGGTGTGGGGTGCTGTCACTTACTGTGTGGGTGCTGTCACTCCTGTGTGGGTGCTGTCACTCTGTGTGGGTGCTGTCACTCACTGTGTGGGTGCTGTCACTCACTGTGTGGGTGCTGTCACTCACTGTGTGGGTGCTGTCACTCACTGTGTGGGTGCTGTCACTCACTGTGTGGGTGCTGTCCCCCACTGTGTGGGTGCTGTCACTCACTGTGTGGGTGCTGTCACTCACTGTGTGGGTGCTGTCACTCACTGTGTGGGTGCTGTCACTCACTGTGTGGGTGCTGTCACTCACTGTGTGGGTGCTGTCACTCACTGTGTGGGTGCTGTCACTCACTGTGTGGGTGCTGTCACTGTGTGGGTGCTGTCACTCCCTGTGTGGGTGCTGTCACTCACTGTGTGGGTGCTGTCACTCACTGTGTGGGTGCTGTCACTGTGTGGGTGCTGTCACTCACTGTGTGGGTGCTGTCACTCACTGTGTGGGTGCTGTCACTCACTGTGTGGGTGCTGTCACTCACTGTGTGGGTGCTGTCACTCACTGTGTGGGTGCTGTCACTCACTGTGTGGGTGCTGTCACTCACTGTGTGGGTGCTGTCACTCACTGTGTGGGTGCTGTCACTCACTGTGTGGGTGCTGTCACTCACTGTGTGGGTGCTGTCACTCACTGTGTGGGTGCTGTCACTCACTGTGTGGGGTGCTGTCACTCACTGTGTGGGGTGATGTCACTCACTGTGTGGGGTGCTGTCACTCACTGTGTGGGGTGCTGTCACTCACTGTGTAGGGTGTTGTCACTGTGTGGAGTGCTGTCCTCATGTGTGGGTGCTGTCCCCTGTGGTCAGCCAGTTGGGTCAGAGTGCCATCCCTGTGGGGTCCACGGTGGGTGCTGTCACTAGATGGCCAGGGTGTGCACTCACTGTGTGGGGTGCTGCAACTATTTTTGAGCAGAGCTGAGCTGTGTGCCTTGTGGGTGTGTCCTGTGACGTGGGCTTACAGGCAGACACAGTGTGGGTGCCTGCCCGAGTTCGCCAGTTGCAGGTGCCTCCCTTGGCCTTGTAGTGGCCACCTACAGCCTTTTTGAGCAGAGCTGGCTGTGCTGTGGGTGGGGCCCTGGCGGGGCTACAGGCAGACACAGTGTTTATCCCCACTGGACAGAAGCAGGTTGTTTCTAGCTGGCTACCCAGGAGTTCAGTGCCCAGGTGGAGCCTGACTGGTTTCTAAACCAGCCAGGCTCCAGCCAGTCTCTGGGAGGCCTTTCCTGGAATCCTTTCCCTTTCCTGCCTGCTCCCAATGGCCTTGAGGCACTCCAGCACACTCTCTCTGGCCAGGGAAACCCTGTGGCTTGGTACAGAGTCCCATGCCCTGGTGGGGCTCTCTGGTGCATAATGGGTCCCGAGTGCTCGCACACACTTGGTATTTCTCAGAACTCAGTGTGTTCAAGTGTTAAAGGGGGCTCAGTAGCAGCCAAGGTAGAGGACAGCACGGGTGTTGGGTAGTATCCAAGGTCAGCAAAGCAGGTCAGTGTACAAGGTGAGTCCTGGCCTTCTGCTCCTACCAGTAGTGAGTCTGTGTTTGTGGAGGTGCTTGTCTTTTGCTGGATCATTGTCTTGGTTTGCTCACTGCTGCATCCCCACTCCCTGCTTTTGTGTTTGGCGCGTACCAAGTGCTCAGTAACTCTCACCTGAAAAGGTGAGCAAGCACATGTGTGGGCCAACCTTCCCTGTGGAGGGACAGCAGGTGGCTTGGCTGGAAGACCAGCCTGTGACACTGGGGGTCAAGGGCTAAGAGGCAGGAAGATATTCCAGGGAGAGAAGGCAATTAACAGCCCTGGGAGAGCATCAAGCAGCCTTGAGAGCTCAGGGGATAACCAGAAATGAAGGTGGCAGCTCGGGAGCTTGATGGATGAGCAAGGAAAGCTCTGAGCGCAGGAAGGTTCTCCAAGTTCTTTGACTTAGGGTTACGAACTGGAATGCCTCCCCCAGTGATCTGCCATGGAACTTTTGTTGTTTCTGTTTCATGTGAGGCTTTCTCATTTTACCCCTTGCCCTGGAGGAAGCTTTTTGGTAAGGGTTGCTGAGTGACTTCCAAAGAGCTCAGCCTTGCTGCTGTCTGTGAGATCCTCTGCTGTCTTCGAGGAGGCTTGGGGGAGGCTAGTTCTTATTTAAATGCAGGTCAGATACTGTTCTGGTCAACTGCAGGGACTGGCCAAGACAGACTCTTCAGCCAGAGTCCTGGACCGTGTGTTTACTATATCAGATGTGGTTTGCAGCAAGGACCTGTGACTTGGGGTGGGAACTCCCAGTTGTGACAGCACCCTGATTCGCCCCTGTGTGTCAGGTTCTACTCCCTGATACACGGGCAGTGTCGCTTCTGAGACAGCCTGAGCAGACTCTGTCTTGTGGACTACTGCTCTGAGGCTGGAGGACTGTGGGGGAGGACTTCTGAGGCTGTAAGGGAGGGAGAGCAATGCAGGGTTTTGTAGGTTACTTACTATTTCCAAATCCCCGTTTGAACCTCAAAGTCAAGAGTGGGTTGAAGATGACCACCCTGTATATTAAGAGTTCACACTGGCATTAGGGCGATGGCTCAGCAGGTGAGAGAGTTTGCTATAGAAGCGTGAGGCCCTGAGAACAAACAAACAAACAAACAAGACCAGAGCCCACACTGTAAAAATGCCAGTCATAGCCATAACCCCAGTGCTGGAAGGTGGGGCAGATGGGTCCTGGGAGACAGATGGCCAAAACAATTCTGTCCTAAGGGAATGAGGTGGAAAGTGATGGAGGGCGCCAAGTGTCCTTTTCTGATTTCCACAGGTGTGTTCCTCCAAACTCTCTCTCTTTAGCATACATGCACACACACTGCATGATCCCACATAAAAAGCCAGGCACAGTAGCAGGTGCCTGTAACCCCCATCACTGAAGCTGTGGGAAGAAGAGGGGAAGGATATATGGGGCTCGTATACCACACTAAAAACCTTTCCCTATACACAAAAAAGGTAATTCATTATAAGAAAGTTTGATTCAAGGTCACCCTGAGCTATAGAATATAGCAAGCTCCCCCCCCCCCAAGCTCTGTGAGTGCTTGCCTAGAGCCCCAGGTTTGATCTTGATATACTTAAAGGTTCAGACAAACACACAGTGAAGTAATAAGAACAACTCTCTCTCTCTCTCTCTCTCTCTCTCTCTCTCTCTCTCTCTCTCTCTCTCTCTCTCCTTATTCTGTCTGGTGCCTTTTGGTCATTGTTGTATTTAAAACTGTCGACTCCAATCTCATCTGTTTCTAACACCCCAGAAAACAACCAAGGTGGCGTCAGAAAAGGCCTTAGGAAGGTTGGGGCCGGAAGCAGATTCAAGATGTCTGGCTTTTCTCCCTGTTTTCAGATGACAGGTCACTGCGGGATTTTTTAAATAGTCGCCCTTAGTTGGCCTCACCCTCCGTGGTTCCCAGATGTGCTCACCCTCCTGTCACAACCATTTGGCGTCCTTTGATCTTCCGAGGCGCTTAGCTGAGTTATGGGAAAATTGTTCGCCCTGTTTCTTTGGTAGAAGTTTAGCTGTGAATAAATGCCCAGGTTTGATGAGTCACTGTACATACGGTTGAACGCCTACTATGTGCAGGTGTTTTGCATGACAATTACTGCTGTCGACTGACGTTGTGCTGTAAATGCTTGCTGAATATTAAACATCCGAGTGTTTGTTTAATCATTCAGCTTGCTAAGCTGTTACAGCTGGCTTCTGGAAGAGAAATCTGAGGCTTGGGGGGATTAGGAATAAGCCTCCTAAACACAGCTAATAGCTTCACAAATTCAAAGCACCACACTGTATCTGCACGGGGCAGGTCTGACTCTGCCTTGTCTGTCAGGTGCTTTTTATGGGGAGGGTCACATGGTACCCTTGAGACTGCCCTTCCCTTCAAGGGGAGAGGGGCAGACAGAGCTTAGGGACAGTCCAGATGTGGTAGAGGCATGTGTCCAGGTTCACTCACCTCTCTGTAGAGTGCTGTGTTCAGCAGGTGGAGTGGGCTTGTATGATATAGGTGGTTTTCTGTAAACCAATAAAACTGCTGTTTTGTACGCTTTGAAAGACAATTTTCCCCACTAGGCAAAGACTCAGCCCTGGGCCCCTGTAGTAGGACCCCCAGAAGGTTCTCGCTATCTGTAGTTATAGTCTGTGCGCAAACATGTTTTAATTCCAGTATTCTCTGTATTTTAGGCTTTGGACGTGGACCGGATGGTTCTCTACAAAATGAAGAAATCTGTGAAGGCAATCAATGTGTCCGGTCTGGGTGAGTCTTCACTATTCCCTCCAGGGTTAGGGGTGAGGTGGGGGAGAGGGTATTGTCTCTCAGTGAAAACACTCGCCTCCACCACTGAACACACACACAGGAGATGCTGGGACACCTACCGCAGAAATAGGGTTTGTTGCCTGTTGTCTGGCTCAGGACAGTCCTCTCATCCTCTGTCTGCCACTGCATGTGCCCACTCCATCAGAGTGGGTGACAGAAGTGCCACCTGCTTCCGTTTGATGCTGTGAGATGAGACATAGGGTTCTCTCTGCATGTCTCACTTTTCCTGCTCTTTCCTAGTCTGGGAAGGAAATGAGTAAACACACAAGCATAATCTACCAGATACCAAGCAATATTTGATTGACTTATACGTGCACTGAAGAAGAAGAAAAGAATTCACCTCAGAATTCACCAGGATGATCTCAGTAGCTAGACTGTTTGCTTAGCACATGAAGTGAAGATGGGTTTGCTTCTTAGCAGGTGGTGGTGTACGCCTGTGATTGTCCTGACACTCAGGAAAGTGGAAGCAAGAGGCTTGGAGGGGTCAAGGGTCTCAGCTACAAAGTGGGTTAGAGGCTAGCCTGGGCTACACGAGAAGACACTGTCTCAAGAACAAATCAAGGGTTCCTGGAACTTTGTGACTTAAAAAAAGCAGGCCGTGCAGATGGTGGGAGGGCTGCCCCGTACAGATCCTATTAATGATAGGAAATGTTTTTGATAAGCCACCAAATATCTGTGTAGTTTCATTCAGAAGGAAGGTGGCGGCTTTCACAGACCAGAAGTAGTGATTGTGGTAGAGGACTGAGAGGGCTGGTAAATCCTGGAGCAGAAGGCTAGCCAGCCTATGGGAGAGCAGCCCTGCTAAGTTAAAAGAGTTTGGATGCCTACGTATGGGCCTCGAAGGGCATTTAGGCCCCCAGGTGTCTGTACTGTGTCCTGCTTACCCTGTGGTGTCTCCTTTTAATCAAGGGCAGTGTTTGGAGCAGGAGGACAAGATGATGTCAACAGGCCATAGAACAGTCTAGAAGCTCATATCCCAAATAATCCCACTCAGAGTAGTGTGAGCCTAACTGTGGGAGTTACTCTCTGCTCATCCTCAGCACCAACTGCAACAAGCTGTGACGGCAGGGAGCCTGGAAGGTTGTATCCACTGAGGGTGTTTGCATTGCACAGAGCTCTGTAGAAAAACAGAATTAATAGAAGGGACATGTATGACAAAGGGGATCTGTTAGGCCTTACACAGTATGGTCTGTGACTTACACAACCATGGCTGTCAGCACGTCAGAGAGGCCGAGGACTAGGAGATGCTCAGTCCATGTGGCTGAATGCCTGAGCAGCCTATATCTTGAGCTGAAAGCCTGGAAGATTCCAGAAGAGCTATTGGTCTTCAGTCTGGCCCAAGAAATTGGGTGAGTTCTGGTGTTAGAAGGATGCACTCACAGAGGGCCAGGTGAGCAGGCACAACAGCTTTTCCCTTGGACTTCCTTACATCCTGGTCACCCACAAAATTAGAGATGGCCTAAGTAAGGCCTATGAGATGCACTCGGGTCGGGAGGCTCAGTACCTACCAAGAGCCCAGGCTTCACTGTGGTCGAAAGGACAGCCTGATTTTTACACTTGTGTGAAGGGCTGCAAGGTGATCCTCCTCTGTGTGGGGCCTGTCCCGCCAAAGGCAAGGTGGCCAGTGATATCTTTTGAACCCTGTGTATTGTACTAACTTGGACAACAAACTGCTTCTCTTAGACAATAGGAGGGACCTGCAGATCAGAGCTGATCCCCAGGGATTGGGAAGGTTTTCCCAGTATGTTGTTTTCCTGCTGGCACAGGGCTGTGCTCAGTGGCTGTTAGGTTACAAAGTCACTGCCCACCTATATAGTGTGTCAGCATCCTGTTGCTCCTCCGGAGGCTGAGATCTCCCTCCAAGACAGGATGCCCAGTTTTGTTGACAAATCCCAGACTTTACAAAGGATCTCTGGAGAGTTTAATTTTTAAAAATTGGACCCACTTGGAATTTTTTGAATTTTTAATTTGAAGGCTATTATACACATTATATAAAAGGGATACTGTATTTTGGTCAGATTGAAAACAATGATTTTTGTCATTGCATGTTGAAAAGACTTTAATAAAAGGTAAAAAGGAGATTACCTGTATGGTGAGGCTGACGGCGCATGTCCACCTGGAGGCCAGCCGTGGTGCATCTCCCACCTGTCTCGTTTACTTTTCTGACCTACGTTGCTGTGTGTGGCCCATAAACCTCCTCCCATATAAAGACACAGGCACTGTGGTGTCTGCTTGATACCCAACAGAATTCCCTCTCTTCACTCCAAAGTCTGTGGAAGTGAGCTCCATTCAGAATGTGGGAATGCTGAGGGAGACCCCAGGAGGGATAGAAATGGGGGCAGAGCTCAGGTAGACAGAATTCCACCAGAACCACACGATGGCTTCAGTGCGCAAATGTGAGCTGTAAGGGACGTTGCTCTTGGACTTTTCCGTGTTCAAGCAGTTCAGGCAGCTCCGTCCTTAGTGGATGATCCAGGAACCAGCGCCTGCGTATCTCCCAGGCTCAGGCCACCCATGCCCACGTGCCCATTTGATAACCTCCTCACCATTTCCTGGTTGTGCCACTTTTCGGTGTCCCTCCATGCACAAGTCCATCTGATCAAAATGGTGCCTCTCCACGAGGCCCCAAGGGCATTGTTTATGGCGTAAAAACTCTTACTGGACAGAGCTAGGAAGTTACACAGTTCTTGGGGACTGTGTCTGAGTGTGCATCCCTCCTGAGGTCCCATAGGTCCAGCCAACTGGCTGGGCACCTGACCTTGGAGGGGGATCTTTTGCTTTTGTTTGCTTTTGTCATATTGTACCCAACTCCTGTATGCTAGGGCTGTAAGTCTTTATTTGAGAACAGGTGTTGCCTACTTGGAAAGTCACCGGAGGAGACCACGCTTTCTTCTGGTTGTTGGCGTTGGTCATAGCAGTCTGTAGAGTTCCTCTGTGACTCCTGCCTTGTCGTATGAAGTTTCTGGCCTGGCCAGGTCCCACCACCGTTTCAGCCCCCCATTAAACACACGGATGCCATATTAATTATAAAACTGTTGGCCGGTGGCCTGGGCTTCTTATTGGCTAGCTTTGTCTTAATTATTAACCCATTTATTTTAATCTGAGTATTTCCACGTGGTCTTACCTTACTGGAGAAGGATCTGAACCTCTAACTCCTTTGGTGGCTCAAATGGTGACTGCTGTCTGCTTCCACTTCCCAGACTTCTCCTTGTCACCTAGCCATGCCTATACTTCCTGACTCATTGGCCACAGTGTTTTATTCATTAACCAATAAGAGAAACATATACAGAAGACATCCCCATCAGTGTCTTGTGGCTCGTTCTTTCGCCCTAGTTGGAAATAAGCCAATCGGTGAGGGGTTAAGCGTTAGCTACCACAGGCTAGGTGCCCAGGCAACATCTGCTCCAAAGGCTGTGGGTCCTCAAAGAGGAGTCCCTGTGACTGATGTTAGTATGACTGCTTGTCCAGAAAGAGCGCTCCTTTTGCTTATGTTTGAAGCAACAGTGAGAACAACTGAGCATTTTTGCCTGGCTTTCCCTATGCTTGTTTGGTCTTACCCTTCTAAGTGTGTCCTAGTCTGTCATGGACTGGTCCCATCTGACCACTCTCCTGGCCTCTTTGTGTGGTGACTTTATATGTATCACTCCACACTCGCCAGCTGTAGTTACCTGGGTGTGACCTTCCCAACCCTATACTGCTTCAGGCTGAGGCTTGACAGGGTATAAGCTTTTCTTTACTCTCATTTCCTCTTGCTTCATGGCATGTTTCTGTCTGCCCAGAGGTTCAATGGAACGCACATTCTCCCTTCAAATTTGCAGGTGGGAAGTGCAGTGTGGGTCCTGCTGGTCTGAGATCTGGCTGATGCCTTGGTCAAGGTTCCTTCCCTGGGCTGTTTTTTCTAGAGGCCACCGGCACTCCTTGGCTCTCAGCCCTTTTGTATCTACGGAGCCAACAAATAGCCACTGGAGTCTTCTTGCAGGTCACTTCTGAAGGTCTGTGCTGGTTGTCACATCGTAATGTCACCTATCCATGGTGTGAACATTAGAAGCTTATTGGAGTTCTGTAAACTTGAAGTCCCTGGTTAGGCTGCCGTCATAGGCTCATAGGGTGGGTCCTCTTGGTTTATAGACTGTTGGTTTTGAGACAGTGCCTCACCATGTAGCCCTATCTGGCCTGGAACACATTGTGTAGACCAGACTGACTGAGAGCTCACAGGGACCCACCTGCCTCCAACTCCATGTGCCACCACAGATGGGGTGCCCTCCCTGGCAGGGATACAGGAAGCAATTGCTCTGGGGTCTGTACTCATAGGTTACCAAGTCCATGAGGACCCTGCCCTCTGAATTCATCAAAAACTAATGATTTCCTAGTGGTTCCATCTGTTGATAGCAACACATTGAAGGTGTGGACTTTGGTATTCAAACTTGAAGATACAGTGTTCAGTCCCACAGCAGACACGAATCTCCTGCCTCCCTCCTTCACATTCAAGTACCTTAAATTAAAAAAACAAAACAAAACAAAACTATTTTGTATGTGGTGGGGTGGGGGCTGTTTGCCAAGGCAGCTGTGTTGAAGGTCAGAGATTAACTGTTGGCATGTAGCTCTCTTCCCACCAATTCAGGTTGTCAGGTTTGGTGGCAAGCACATTTACCTATTCAGCCATCTTGGTGGCCCTTAAGCACCCCATCAGCTAGAATAGTCTCACCTCAAATTAGCATGTTTAATTAATCTATTCTTATTTCCTTTTGTCAGGGAGCTTACAATATTTGAGGGTTCTTGGGGTTACATTGTGGGGGATGGGACATCCTCTCTCCTTCCCTCATCACATCTCCGAACAGTTTTGAGGTTGGTTCATTTTAGACTCTTCTAGTGAGCCCCACATTAGCGGATCCATAACATTCAGGCACTGTTAACACTTTAAACGCTGCTTTCTGTTGCTT